GGGGGGGGGGGTGTGAGGGCGGCGGCTGAAGCCTGAGCTCACGCGTGGGACCGGGGGGGGGGGACACACACGACACAGCCCCGTGCGTGTGTGCGCCGCTTCCCCGGGCAGCCGGAGCTGATAATTGTGGTTGTTACTGTGAGCCCGTTAATCCCCCCCAATCCCTTTACCTCCTGCTCGCGGGGGATTACAAATTAATAAAAGCAGCTTAGGGGCGGGAGCCTCCAAACACACATATGTTCCTGCCCGACGGCAGCGCGGGGACTTTCGCCCGCCCGTGGGGGCGGCCCAGCGCTCCGCTGCACCCACCGCGGCCCCGTGCTGCTGCTGAGCACCTCTGGGTGCCCAGCTGCTTTCCTGCCTGCTCTGGATCCTGCGGGGCTTGTGGGGGGCCGACGGCTGGGTCAGGGACCGTCCCCTCGGATGGTTTGTCTGGTTGGCAAATAGCGCAGGGAGACATTTTGGGGGCCGGGAGATGAGGTCCCCAACTAAAGTGCTTAGAAAGGCCAGGCTGGGGTGTAGCCGTGGTAATGCCGGGGACCACGGCGGGTCCTGCTGGGTACCCCCAGGAGCTGGGGGCACCCCGACCCTCCCCAGGGCCATCAACAGCTTTGGAGGAGGAGCAGGACCCACATGGGCTTTTTTAAGCTCAGTTTAGTAAGTGGGTTTTTAGTCTGATCCTCTAAGGAGGCAGTTTAAGAAAACACGTGTGTGTGTGTGGTGGTGGCTGTGTCCCAGCACACGGGGCAGGGTGGTGGCCGTTGGGGCCGTGCAGGATGGAGGGCAGTGGCCGATGGCTCGCTCAGGACCGTTGATGGCGCATGCCAGCCCCGTGGGTCACCCGCACTGTGGCACCATCTCTGCGGGTTCCCCCAAAAGCCCGTTTGGCCACCCAACGTACACCCTTGGGCCCTCCCGCTCAGGCTTTGGAGGGGAGTTGCAGTGCCAAACTTCTAAAGAACGAACCTTATCTACAGGTTTAGACATCTTACTGCTTTCTAAAAATAGCTTGGAGTATGTCCGCAGGTAGATAATCAATATTGTGAACAAGTCGCCGTGGCCCCTTCTCAGTGGCAGCCAAGGCTGTGGAGATTCAGAAGCACCCAGTGGAGGGTGGCACCCTCCCTGCCAGAGAAAAGCTCTTCAGGTTTAAGGGAAAGGAAGATTTGTGTACGTGTGGAGATAGAGAAACGTCGTGCGTTGGTCAGAAATGGGAAATTTTTCCATCGCTCCTACAAACGTTCGCTGACGTTTTATAAAGTTATGGGATAACAGTAAAAGAAACGGGAGTAAAAGTTTACCTGTCCCCAGGACTTTTTAAAATGAAGTACCCACACAAAATGACCAATACGGTTTGAAACGGACACGTATGCGAGCTATCCTTGCAGTAGTTTAGCTAAAAAGTATTAGAAAATACGGGTAAAAAAGCCAAAACACACCATCCTTTGCCCAAATGTTTGCAATTTATTTTAAACAAGCACATTAGTTTACAATTTAGTACAAAACAGTCACTCTTCCTTCATAGAGAGGTATGAGACTGAGTAAAAAAACCAACCAAAACAGAACAGACTTGCAAATGTCAAGTTATTGAATTAAAATAAATAAAACATTTAAATTACTGGTTTATTCACTATTTTTAACACCTCATATGCAACGCACTGACCTAGACAACACACCTTGGAGCTCTCGCTAAGATGGTAGTTCCCACCCAGTTCTGAGCAGGAACAGCAGGATGGATGCTGGAAATTAAAAATTTAGAGTTCTGAGGGATAACTTCATTAGGTTTCATTAGCACTTGCAGCTTTTCTTTCCTGGCACATTCCACAGTACTCCTTTTATTTTCTGTGCAGGTTTAATATTTCCTCTTTAAAAAGAGCAAAGGCAGCTCCATGAATGACAAAGGGCCAAGAAATCCTTCTCGGAAATGACTTGCCACCAGTCCACAAATGATCGTGGCGTTGCAGAAACTTCTGTGGAACAACCCAATGCAGGAATAAAACCTCCAGGATCGAGGACAACATGCTGGTTCAAGGCAATTTTTAAAAAGGAAACACCTTCTTGTAACTCAACCACCGGTAACGCAACACGGCAAAGCAGCATCGCGCATTCCCCGGCAGATTTATCTTTACAGTCAGAGTATGTAACGGGATATAATTTGTCATTATAAAGATAGAAAACAAGAGCAAGCAAACCAAGATTTAGACAACTGAATCCAAAGTCGAGAAAACTTTTCCAGATGAGGTCACTACTAGAATTAAAGTGAAAACCTTAACCAGTGAACTGGCAACAGAGTTAGAGCACCAACACGGATAACTGACATCCAAATTTAATGCTTTGACTGACAAAACAAAAAAAAAAAAGACCCCTGGAGGTTTGGGCATGGGTTCATTCTGTCATGCTTCCAGAGTCACAGCAACATTAAAGTTAATGGCGTGTAGCAAAAAATATACCTTGTTCCAAACCCACATTTGCTGCTGTTTGAATGGCAAAATCATCCCCCAAAACCGTCAAAGCCTTTTGTTTTCATACGCAGATGAAAATAAGCGGAGTCAAAGCTAAGAAACTCGGGTCTGTGTATTTGGTGGAGTTCTGAACACCAGCACCAATGACCGATTTTTAACTTCAAAATGTGCAATAATACTGACAGCAGGAAATTCAACAGTCCCACAGAAACCAGCCAGATTTTTCAGATCCGATGCTTGCTATGCTGCCGTTTCAGTGTTTGGGTTGGTTGGTTTGTTGGGTTTTTTGGTGTGTTTTTTTTTTTTATCAGGAGTTAAACGTCCTTTGCCTATTGGCAGGTATTAATGTCTCCCTGAATTAGGCCACTTAAAAGTTGCCTGAGTTTTTTAATTAAATTGGGAACTCTGGGCTTTCCTAACAAGCCTCCTCCTGGGACCTTTCACTGGATTCCAGCACAAAGCAAGTGGCACTGACGAGCCAGCCTGGACCACCTTCCACCACTGGTTCTCTATCTTTCTGGCTACTTACAACCTGTTTTAATATTCAAGCCCAGGTGCTGTAATTATATTCCTAAAGAGAACAGACCCATGATTGCTCCTTGTGCCAGAACTCTTGAGCAGTGAGGGTCCTTAAGCACGGCCTGCCTTAACGTGGCAGACAACGTCAAAATCAAGGTTTTCCCGTTAGCCCAGGGAAACAACAAAGTTGCTGCGGGTGCTCCCGGCAGCGCTCGGCTGGGCGGAGGCAGCAGGTGGCAGAAGGCAGGAGCTGGCCCCCAGCTTCACCCAGAGTGTGCAGAGCCAAGTCTGTCCCACTGGAGCAAGAGCCATCGGGCACACGCACAACAAACAGTGAAGACGGCTTAAGGGAACCAGAGATAATGAGCCTCTCCATGTACAGCAGGCTAACGGTGTCACGTCAGTGGAGATTTTTTTTTTTTTCCCTCTGACACGTTTACAATAACCACAGGTTATTACTCTGTGTATGTTCTTTTGATAAACTTAGGGAACAAGGGACAGTAAATCTCTGAAGCTCAATTTTGTTGTTCCAAGTGGAAGCCGCAGAAACTCATGTCAGAAATGTTCAAAGAAGATTTGATTAGAAAAAAACCCCCCCATATCTCTGTTGAGTTTTTGTGCTTTTAGACCATTCCTGTTGCTAGGCTTTAAACTTTTTATGCTAGGGCTTATGATGGAAATAAGAGGAGGACGCACCAATGGTATAAATACAATGAATTGGCCAGGGACTGTTTATTCCTTCACGCATAACTGAAGAGCTAGCAAACATTCAATTAAATTAAAAGTTGCAAATGTCGAAATGAAAGGAAAAGCCTTTTTATATAACATAATTAATCTGTAGAACTCACCGCCACGAGAAAACATTGAGGCCAAAACCTATTAGGATTAACTGAAGATTAGGTAATGGATAACCAGAACATGCTCAATTACATTGGATAGGATTATAAACTTCACTATCCAGGACGTGAATTATCCTCCCAGCTAGGCTCAGACAGGAACTCCTATTCCAAGGGGGAATTTTGTAACTGTTTTCATGGTTTCTTCTAATTGCTGCCAGCCAGGACCCCACCAGCCCTGCGAAGGCAACTGCCATATTCCCAAGCGCTGCTGCATCCCAGAAGGGAGCAGCTCTCGGATTTAACCATCAGTGAAACCCTTCTGGACCCAAACCCAGGAGCCCTCCAGCAGAAGGGCAACAGCAACGGGCTGTTCTTCCAAGCACTCTACAGACAACTTCACAGGGAGCAGGGGAGACTGCGAGCTTCAGACTGGAAATACCAAATGTTTGCTCCACCTCACCACAAAAAAATTCCTATATTGTAAAGGAGTTTTCCAACATCATAAAAAACTGATTTTTCAGATCTGTAAATCTGTTCTGGCACGCTGATGCAAATTTTGCTGTCCTCCACTAAAAACATGGTTTCCCCTTACTAGAGTTCAACAGAATTGGCTTCCATCTGGGTAACACAGTAACTACTCAGCTACTTTTCTGGATCACAAAGGAGTGAGGGGAGTTATCTAATGCTCCATTACCACGTCCAATGGAGGAACAAGTAAAGCGCTGGGTCTGAGACTACCTCGCTGACATCTAAAATTCATCAAAATGGATGACAGCATTAGCAGTCAGAATCAGGCTGCTAATTGAGATACAAAATGCCCCAAAACTCCCATCCTAGGAGACACATACGCATCCTTGGCTGGAACTCACAAGAGAACGGAAGACTTATTTGAACATGTAATGCTTTCTACTTTAAATATGCAGTGTAAATAATATTTCAGAAAGTCACATGGATTTAGAATTGATTTAATGGGAATAGAACTCTTGTTTCCTGAAAAAAAAAAAAAAGAATTCTTGCTTCTCCAAATGAAGCAGTCAAAGTAACAGCATAACCACTCAGTATTCTGGTAGGTAAAATCAGCTTGGATAAATTAAAAAACAACACCAAAAAAACAAACCTGACTTGAAGTACACAAAACAATATCCAATTTCCTTCTACACCAGGCACAGTTGATTGCATAATGCAATGTTTACTCTGAAAATGAGTAAAGGATGTAGGTGGCGAGTCACGGAAAAATCTGAACTGAAAAATGTAATGCTTCCTTCAGTGGACGTTTTACGACAGCACTGTGTGCCTCTGTTACAGATTAGGGTTCTTAGGGCGAGCTCCTTATATTAAGCTAGAACACTTGTGAAATGACTTGGGAAGAAAGGGTTCTGAAACAAGGAATACTGTATATAAAAATCCCTGATCATAAATATTAAAGCTGTATCTGGTACTGAACAGCCACGTACAACGAAAACTTAGTTTCCAATTTTATACAGATGAACGATAATACTTCACTTTCCACCGTTTTGATCTCATTCGGAAAAAAAAGTACATGATCATTAAAAATAAGGATGATGCTACATACAGTATGACACACAGACTCATGTCTATGTTTGAAAATCCAATCCCTAAGAAAGACATGGCCTGCTTTGTCTCTTTAAGGCCAGCTGATCCAACTGCGCTTTTACCGTTATCTTTGACAGGTCCATGATTTGCTACCAACTTATCTAACACCTTCGATTCTGAATCTAGTATGTTCTCTTTATCCTGGATCTTATTTTCTCTGTTTCCGCTTGGTTTCTTCAGTGGGTTTTTGTCTTTCACCTCTCTTGTATCCCCCTGTTCTGTTTCACTGGAGTCAGTCTGGCTTGCAGTGTATTTATATAGAATATTTTCACTGTTATAGTGATACTTCATGAACTGTAGAACTTGGGCTTCATTCCAACTGTGTAATCCTTTAATTTCTTCATGACACGCAGGACAAATGTCTGGAGTTGGCCACTGAACTTTGGGAAATTTTGGATCTTCAGTCAAATCACCTAATTGGGAGGAGAAAAGAATAAAAATATCGGAAGTGAATGAACTAGGAAAGCTGAGCCATCAGACACTTCACTGGAAACCACAGAGTATTTTCCACTTATAAACAGTGAGGTTGGCAAAAAAAAGCCCACAGCACAGTCACGTTTGTATTAAACCGAGGACAATCATGAACAAATTTGGAAATTCACCTTTCCTTACGGAAGCATCAATTATGTTCTGAAGAATTGTTTCCTTTTTCAAAACACAAACACTAAATCGTAACTATTTTCCTTTTCTCTCAGTGAAAGCTGTAGTGTTCAAATTCTAATACGCGATACTCCAACTGCTATGTTTTCAGAAGGTACAAACCCCCCACCATCTGGGCCTTTCAGGGGTTAATCTGAATTATGGTTCAAAACAAACTGCTCTTTTGCACTCAGTGCTCTTTAATCCCGAGCCTGGTTTGCAGGAAGCTGTTTCAAGGCCAAAGACTTGCAGGTATATTCACGTTTCTATACCGTGAACCATTCCGTTCTCAGCTTGCCTTTTCATAGCTTGCATTATTACTATAGCAAACTATTTTCAGTACTTTAAAAACCATTATCATATTTAAGATGTATTTTTCAGCTTGCTTTTTAGCATTTAAACCTGTAATGCTGCCTTGGAACTAGATCCAACTCTAACGTTTCAGTTGCTCATTGCTCTGGCTACCTTTCTGTCTTGATGGCAGAGATTAACACTGTAGCTAGTGTTGTACTTTGCTCTAAAAAAAAAAAAAAAAAAAAAAATGGAGATAATTTTTAGAAAAAAAAATAATCTATCTGGTAAAAAAACTAATTTATTTAGCTGATTGTTATTAGTACACTAACACTTAAAATATTTCAGAAATAAATATAGATTCTTATTATTGCTTTTATCCTTTTTAAAGGCAGGAAACTCCCCCATGATTCCGAGCAAAATATTGTTTAGGGATTCAAAGAATGCTTTAAAATATTTGTCTCCTTGATATTTACAAGAGAGCAAGTCTGCATTTCAGATATCTTTAAATAAAGATCACTAAATAAAGATATTATTTAAATAAATAATCAATATGTTTCAGTAGAGAGTAGAAACAAAACATCTTATGGTAAGAATACAAACAGAAAAGTTGCTGTACTTCATGTTTTTCTGCCAAAAAAAAAGAGAATGCTATAAATTCTGTTCATTCTAAAGCAACAGGAAAGAATTAAATAGGGCAGAGCCATATACAACAATCTCATGGCCCACACTTGAAGGCTGTGCCAAGGTGTTTTCATTGACCAGTCAAACATCATTTCTCACCGAAAGCTCTATACATCGCCAGAAATACAGATGCAGCTTTTAAGAATTAAAATAAGTCACTGTCCCACAGAGAAATTTTAGTAAACTTAAAAAGCGTAATTTAGTATTATTATTTATACTTCTTACTAAAAGGGTATTTTAGCTGGCTGTTGCATCATCTAAATCAATATCCATGCGAGTTTTCCAATAACATAATGTTCTAAGTAAGTATATTGCTCCACTCCTTAGCAACTTCAAGTGAACAAGACGACTTTTTTTTTTTTTCCCCCCCTCCTGTGCTCAACCTGGCAATAGTAACGAACACTAGGGGATGTTTTTATTTAATACCTCATAATTTACTTTTTTCTTCTTGGAGAAAGGAGACAAACTGTTTATGCTCACAACAGTATTTAATACTTCATAAATCTTGGGAATTCAGCATAACCATAATATAAACACAATATAGCATATTTAAATTGCAACTAATGCTACATTACACAGATCCATAACAGCAGAGAGGGATTAAGTGCAAAGAGAAACCAATTTTCTTTAGTGCTTTAGTTACTTGATATCCCCATAACAGAACGGATTAAATACAACCAGTATTTTAACGGTACTTTTAGTCTAACTGAAAACATAGCAATCTAGCAGGGGAACAGATTTTCTTCATACGGTAATTTTATTTTATTCAGTTGCTGATCTGCTAATAGTTTAGGCTCTTTTACCCTGAGAAAGCCTTCTGTTCAATTATCATCATTTTCTCTACAGCATTTCTCCAAAACAAAATGAAGACAGGTTTTAACATCTTGTTAAACTCTTACAGAAAGAAATGTCATTATTTTTTTTATCTACTGATAAGAAGCTAAACTGTGCTGCTCCTTTTTGAAAAGGCTTTGATTGGTACTCCAGGAAGAGCCTCTCAAGCAACAGGTGAAATCTCAGAAGAAACAGTATCTTTGAGAATGGTGATGTTTTTTCATTACACAGCAGAAGAGTTACGGGAGGACCGTGTATCCCAAGTGAGTATTTCTCACTACACAAAGGTTAACACACTAGAGTTCTGGTTGAATGGGATGCTCTAGGTTTTGCTCTATACACAAGTACCCTTCCTTGTACACCAAGGCAAATACGGAGTTAGTCTTCTGAAGTCAGTATTTAACAAAGGAATGTCAAGCTGGAACAACCGTTACTGTTTCTAAACTCACGTTAGAGCCCAATTTGCATTATCTTTGCTCAGAGACTAACCACGCTGTATAAAATGCCATAACCTTGGCTCTCAGACACAGCCACCCTCGGTGAGTTTTCTTCAGGTCTTTCATACCTGCGAGCCTGTTATTCACCACGTTGTGTTTCTCCCAGAGCCAGAGAACAGCCTTGTCTAAGGTTTTAATGGAATCCATGGACTCTTTAGCCATTTCTTCAAAATGCTGAGCGCAAGCCTTGCATCCAAAAAAGTGGTGAATGTATCTCCGCATGATCTGAAGTACGATTTGGGGATTGTCTTCAAGACCTAGGAAGACAGATGAGAGATGCATTTGGCACCATCTGGACAAACACAGCTTCAAGTGGGCCCTTCAACAACAGAAAAGTGAACTGTGGGAAAAGGAAATTTAACGCTGCTACCTTCTTGTTCCATGCAAATTTACACCTCCACTTTTAAGAAATTAGCCACTTTTATAATTTTAAGACATGCATAGCACATGTGCCATCATATAGAACCTATACTTCAGTAAGTCACAAAGATATTAAAGGGATTAAAAGCCTCACACAATTCTTAGAAGAAATATCCCTCCCTAACAAAATAAATATGTAATACTGTTACCAAGTAGTTGAGGTGAGACATTTAGAAACCAAATTATTTGGCAATAAATACAGTTTAAAGTGATCTCAAACAGTGAGGTTTCAAAACATACTGTTTTGAAAGGTTGTTGGGGATATCAGACACAACAAAGGACTTATTTCACACACATCAGGGTTCAAAAACTGCTAGGTGAGTGATAGTGTTAGTAAAAATGCAAAGTACCTATTTATCCCAATACATACTAGCATATTTAGTCAATACAGTTGTGTTCAAAGTTACCCTCAATAACACATTAAAATAAGAGTTAAAGGTCAAGTGTTCTTTGCAGTGAAATTTCTCTTTTCAATGGATATCTCACAGTTTGAAGGGGGAAACAAACTTAGCTAAATAAATCAAATACTAAATATTTTTTTTCAGAATCTCATTATCAGAGTCCATTTTGAAACTGCTAAACCATGCAAAGTCCACGCTGTCTATACTTTACACAATTCTTCTGGAAATAGAAGATATTTCTTCAATATCTTGCCTAATAACTAAATGAATATTACGTTATGCATTCACCATTACATTTATGCTCAGGCACTAAAGTTATGGTGACCTTGCTGCTGAAAAACCAACAGTCAAAAACCCTCTGATAAGTATTTCACAAGGTGCCCGAGATACCTGTTTGTTCCTCCGTAACTCCAAGGTATTACTGAATACCAAAATCTCATTTCAGTTATTAATTCCATGGCTTTTTTAGCAAGCACTGAATGCATACACGTAACAGCTACTTTGCAACATTTGAACTTTCAAGAGCAACTCAGGAATTCCTCCTAAAATAAATATGAAGATGCTATTCTTTCTGTAACATTCACACTTTTACACTAAAGGTAATGCAAAAGAATCATTATTTTATTCAGAAGCAAGCTAAGGTCTTTACAGATCAAAAAACTGTCCTGAGCCTTGTACTGTGACAGCAGGTAGTCCCTACATCTGTAAGTGGCTCGAAAACCTGATATAGTTCAATGAAATCCTAATGGCTTCATCTCCGTCTCACAGATTTTTCTGATTCATGCTTAATTGAGCTAGTAAATTATGCCAAAATGTATTTACAAATGTACTATACGTTACCACAAACACACACTTGTCAAAGGAAACACATTTTATGATGCAGATTGATCAAATTACCAACTCCTGCGGTTGAACACGAGTAATTTACAATGCAGGCTTTGTAGGTTCTGTAGTAAAGGGTTACGGTGCTTTGCTCACTATCCTGCTCTGGTCGTGAGTAACAGTTTGGTATCAGAGATGCCCTCCATACATGCCTTCTTTTTTTCAGAAAAAAAAATCCTCAACAAAACCTATTAAAAACTATCATACTTATCTGCTATGTATATAAGAAATGCGTGAAGACTACCACGAACACCTTTGTTTAGAGCATTCTATTCTTAAACACAGCAGTAAAAAAGTCTTTAAAGCCAAAAAAAAAATTCATAAAAAGCAAACAATCTCTACTCAGACATTCAATATCTGTGATTGAATAAGCATGTATAAATAAAAGCTATGAGATTAAAGCAGATTAAATTACAGTATTAAAAGAAAGGCTGAAAAAATAATTTTAGAAAGTTGAAACAAATTTCAGGCAAAATGGTTTTACCACGTATACTAAAATATATATGTAGAAAACAACACAACAAGAGTAACTACTAGTAAATAACGTCTTTATGGAGGAACAGATTCATACACAAATTTAATTATATCTGTTCTCCTGTGTAATTTTATGCTCTTGAAAATTCATTTTGTGGGGAGGTCTTTCAAATTCAGCAACAGATGAAAATGAAACACAAAAAAATTTTTTTTTTTTTTTAATATAAAATCCACAAGCCTGTGTTATTCACGCCAATAGATCCTATTACCTAAACCCACATTTCATATAATTAAAGTGTGCTCAGGACTAGATTTCTAAATGATTTTATACATCCTCGGATGTGAGCAGTTCTGTTCAGAGTTCCTTTGGATTCCCTTATGCTGATCCCACTGCAGGTTCAAATTACACCGTTCAACATTAAAATGTGTCAAGTATGAACCACTAAAAACATTCTATCAAGGAAGCCATAGCAGGTTCACGCTGACTGCCAGACTCTGCAAGTAGAGGAAACTATCAAGAAAAATACAGCTGCTTTAAAAAGAAAACAAACAATTGCAAAATGGCTCATTTTGTTTGTTTTTCTTTTATCAGCCCAGAGATGAATCTTCTATTAACATCTGCCATGTATCATCATGTAATCCTCCTTTTCTCTTTCCTCCCAAACTACTGCAATTCAGGGTAACCCTAATCTTTAAAGTGGACAAGAAGCATAAAACCCTACCTGTGGTGGGAAGGATTAGGGAGTACATCATGCTTTTTAGTAGATGGGATTTAAACAAGCAATAAGGAGAGGAAAACCTCCCAAGACATAATCCGACAGTCTCAGACTGACCCAATTCTTTCACCATAAGAAGTGATCATCACATATCTGTCCCGATTTAAATCGATGGTTTAAGTGTGCCAGAGTTTTCAGGTTCTACAATGTATTTTTAACTTCAGACTGACTAGAGCTCACACTTGAAATGTGGGAGCAATTTAAGATACAGTTTTCTGTGGTTAAATATTGAGAACATTTTTACATTTAATTAGAACATTTTTGGCAATTGAGACAAAAGGGGAAATGTAAGTTAGGCATGATCCTGCTGAACAGCCAATATATCATCCAGAACAAAAAAAAAACCCAGACTCACCAGGCAGAGCCCAGTACTAAAGGGATACAACCTACTATCCCACAAATAACAAACAAAACAAAGAGAAATAGAAATCAACAACAGGATGACTACCTATATTAAAAATAATCTCTATTCTGCAGAAGATTTGATATTAAGAATTGAGAGATTTTCACCCTGATTGCAAGTAATGCTGGACAAATGTATGTATCCATAATTTGAAGTAATTTTTTTTTTTTTTTAACCATACAATCAGCAACTGTCAAATTGCAAATTTCTAAGTTTTATGATCTAGAAACAGTTCATCTTAGCATTCTTATATTCCTTGGAAAAGGCATTAAAAAGGCTTTAAGGGAGAACTAAATAGAACTATAAACAAACAAAACACTAGCCTGGCAAGAATAAAAAGAATGAAGGCAAATATTTTAGCATTAGTAATTATATTTCCACTGTGCAAAGAAAATAAGGTTATATATCCAGCATGTTTCTTCAATTGGAATTATCACCATAATATTAACGCTGCTTCAGGTGATGCTGCAAGTCTAAAAATAAGTAATTTTACAGAGTGCTTGCATAGTAGTATATCACTGCACAGATTAATGGACACTAGGTACATTCAGCTAAAAAAACCCCAACAAACAGTCATAAGATTCAGTGTTTAAGAAATGAATTGGCTAATGGCTGTGCATCTTTTACAGCTACTAAACTGTGTGGTTAAATCTCATTCTTCTCAAATTAACTTAGTGCAATCGCAGGTAACCTGAACAACCTTCATCCCTTTGCAAGTCGTTCAAAATCGCTTTGTTTGAAATCCTCTCCTTTTTCTGCGTTATTGCTCACACCTTTAGGGCCACATACTTTATTTATCACATTTCTAAGCGAGGACAAACCGCCAGGCTTTGCTTTCCAAGCCTTCTGGCTGCAGTAAAGCTCTGCTCTGACCCCTGCCGGTACGAACCTGGAAGCTAAACCTCCAAAGCCACTGTCCTTCACCCGTGTATTAGTTATTTACACACAAAAAAAATTCCCTCTTATTCCATTACTTTTTCTATTGCATAGCAGAACTGCTGCACCTATTTGTCTCCTCCTTCAAGTGCTGCTTACCTGTGTTTATCAGAGCTTTTGGTCGCAGTGCAGCTTGAACAGTTAGAGTATGAAACAGCTTCCAAAGGGAACAGGTGTAACCTCTCAGCTCCGGTCTGCTGCCCTGGCATCCGACCCACTGAACTTTCTTAGTGAGAAATATCCCAGAAATCTGAAAAAAAATATGTATTTAAGATATAGGCAGCTCTGGGACCTAAATGAACTACTGGACACAACAGCAGTCACACAGCTGATGGTACCTCAAGATCGAGGTGATCCATGGGTAAAGAATAGCAAATGACACTCTCTGCACTTGTTGCTAAGGAATTCATGTTTAAGGCAAATAAATTTTAAACTTTTAACAATCCTTAAGTCTGAGATACACTGCTGCACTCATCCCTCTTGCAAACATATGATAAACAACTTACAATCACTGATGCCAAACCTACTAAAATGTGTAATTAGTCTGACAGAATACATGAAGTAGCTTCACTTGTACAGTTTTTAAGCACAGTATGAACACAATGCACACACACAGGTACTACTGGAAACTCTGACAGAGCTACAGTTTCCCTGGGCACATGAAAAATTCCGTATTACTCCGCAAGATTTACATGACTTACGGTGGTAATGTCTTTACAGACTAAGATGTGGAATTCATAATTATTTCTTCTTAAAACAAACCCACTACTTCTTCATTATACTTAAAATCCAGTACAAGATTTTAGTGCCTGAGACTTCTCTCTCTGCTTCCTAAAACAAATAGGAGGTTTCCAAATTCCAGACAGCACTCCCATTTCACAGGAAGACAGACTCACAGTAAGTTCTGTACAAAGATGGCCCTATGGGCAGGGCTCTGCATTACCAAAGCGGGATGGGACTCCCAGCAAGGCCTTTACTGTGCCAGGAAATTAAAGAATATTTGGGGAAACATTTTGTGAGTAACACCCATTTCAGTGGGTAAATTTCTTGTCACTTAAACTCTGACCTTCAAGCGAATCCTGCTGACAGCAGGCACAGCAAGCAAAGGCAACTCAAAAATATCTGCTGGCAATCTTGCATCATTTGAAGCTGATGTTAAGGAACATGTGTATGTTAGCAACTGCTTGCTCCTTATAAAACTGAGACAGGCTTGTGTACTCCAATTCTCTAATTTCAATTCCTTCATGTGGATTTTTTTTTCTGGTAATGATTTCATTTTATTTTCATTTTAACCTTCTTATAACTCCATTATGACTGAGGGAGCATCAATAAGTGATGTCTTACATTTATATAGAATCTTATCCCTTACTAATGCTCTATTTTATGCTGGAAACTAGTAACAGCTTACCCGCATTTTGTTGTTCACCAGATCTAGGATAGCATCGTAAGGGATTTTGTCTAATGGAAGGCTCACCAGCCACTCTTGCAAGGTCTCTAACAACTTTACCACAGGCTGACGGCCAGGAAAAAGCTGAGGGGGGGGGGGGAAAAAAAAAAAAAAAAAAAGAAGTAAACACTCATATTTTAAAGCACAAATCTCATTAGCGGCATGACACTTTTATCTTTATCTAAATGTGTTTCTCCTGCCTTTAAAATGCTTCAGTTTTTCTTTTGTTACGAATTACTTGTTCTGATTTCAATAAAGAAAACCTCCAGTAACTTTTGCTTACAAAATATAACAAGTTGTACACCCAAAATGTTAACCAGTGAAATGAAGCTACTCAATAGCAGGCAGAAATGCTACAGATGTGACAGATCACATCGAATTTCACATTAAGGTAATTCAGTTCAGTGTGTAGCTCAGAAAGAAGCATAAGACCTAAGTGAATCAGAGAGGCTGAAATCCTTCTCACTCTTAGAAAATTAATCAAAAAAATTAGTTCTTCTAAAACTGTTGTTCATATGTCTGTAAATGTAGAAGTTGAAGTTGGTTATCCAGAAGAGCATTTTCCTTCTCATATGTGTAACAGTGATTTCCAAAGTGATTTGGAAGTAGTGACTTCCTTAACCTGCAACTTAAAGAAGCCATGGTCTAGCAACTGAGCGTGAGGATCTGTATATCAGTGGTAATAACATTATTTTACACTAGAAATTGTACTTGCTTTAACGATGGTTGTAATTACTATAGAATTAAGTCAAGTATGCATACCATCCTCTAGGTACCCTTCCAGAGGGAGCAGTATTTCAACAGATGGGGAAATAAACCCTGTATCTGCTACATTAAATACATAAAGCAATTTATGACAGAAGATGCTATACGTATGCTAGTCATTCTGCAGCTGTTGTCCAGCTATCGATAATATCTCCAATTCACAGACTGTTTACTTGATACCATGCAAATCTAATGGGCAGGAACTCCCTTTTGCTAATTGTCTGTAGTGTGTCTAACACAAGGGACCCTGTGCATTGTTTGGGTTCAAAGACAACTCTTAAATAGTATGTAAAGAAACCAGCACACCTCTGAACTGCATGCTCTAATTACATTTACTCCTGTAGGACCCCCAGAATATCACGCATTACTATCTAAAAGAAAGTAGTTGCAAAGTATCTCAGGGAGGTATCAGTCTCATCAAGGAATCAAAAAACAACAGACTTCTGCACTGATTGCCAAAAAGCCTAATTCTACAACATTGAAAATTCCCCAAGTAGGGAACCAGAGACCTCTGTGACTTAGGTTTTATCACCACTATAAATGCTGTTAAATAGGAGGATAGTATCAAAAAATTTCCTAATAAAAACACCTGAGGATCACGAACAAGAACTATGAGGAAAGTGTTATATGACAAGAAAATGCAAACGAAGGCCAGCAGTCCCCACTTGTCTAACGGCAGCCTGGAGAGAAGCATGCAACTAGGAGAGCATTCCCCATTTCTGCACTAAGAGCCAGGGAAGTAAATGACACCAGCTGGCCAGGAGCCATCAGGAAGAACAGAGGATGCTTTAGGGATAATATGATGGAAAGATTACCAGTACACTTTCTTAAAGAAATGAGGCCAGCTAGAGATTTCTGGCCTCTGATGGCCACAGCGGGGGCAAGAAACTGTCTGATTTTCAGATAAATCCAGATATTTGAAAATAGTTCATACAGGCCTTATTATTCCCTTAAATAGCTGTTGATTCAGTTTCTTTAAAATAAAACAAAGCATCAGCTGCTCAGTAAGCAAATATAAAGAGATGTTAGCCATTTCAGTAGGCTGACATTATAAAGTTATTTCAATTTTTTGTCAAGTCATATCACATTATACTACATATTGCCCCTGTAGTATGTAAGCATCTTTATTTTTTAAATACTCAATTATATTCAATACCTCAATTATTTTGAAATACTCAATACCTCAATTACCTTCAAAATTTAGACAGAAGTTACTAATATCTCTAAATAGAACACCATTTGTCAAGTACACACAAACAAAATCCAAAAGCCAAGAATGAAAAACAAAGTTTTTTTAATCCCACTCAGTTATAATAGCTACTTATCCTGAAAATCTGATAAATGGACTATATTTACATTGTAAATATATGCTCAGAATGCTTATTTATTTTGAGCCCTCTAAGATTAAATTAAAACGCATTTCAACCCAACGTCACAGCGGCATACAACTCAAAAATAACATTTAAGCCCACAAAACTATTTTTTTAAGCTAGCGAGGAAGCATTTATTTAAGCATTCTGAAAGACGTTTTGAGAGACTTATATCACATAATAAATTTTATGTTAGAGTCACTTTATTCTTACAAATAATCAAAGACTAGAACCGTATACCTTGGCAGAGATGGTAACAAAATCCTTGAAGGTCTTTAGCTCAGCTCCCTCAAGTGTCTTGTGCGTAGCAAGCTCTACCCTGAGCAGGTAATGCAATCCCGATTCAAGGTCAGCCATGTACAGCTTGGATCTGAAACACACATATATAATGTTATAAAGTGGCAGGTTTCTTTCGCTCATTTCCTCACCAGTCATGAAGGTAAAATTGATATATAGTAGGTGTCATTAAAACCTCAACATTTGCCACTCCACAGTGATTGCAGTATATTCTACACCAGTACGGGAAGACACAGCAGTTACTTCAGGTGCTCAGTATGGTGAATGTCAAGTTCAATGAGGTTCACTGTACTCTCTTAAGAGTAATTTTATGTCATTTTGTTCAGAGTTTAGACAAATGAGGCATAACCACACACAAGAACTTATATTTGACTAAACTTTTTGCCTCCAAGACAGCTTTAACTTGTAATCAAGTTATAACCCTGACACTGTCAGCAAGGAAAGAGCTCACGTAAAGAAATTACAGCTTCTCTTCAGGATTGACCATAAATAGGCAAATGACACAGTACAAAAAAGGGAGACTTTTGTTGAACAAAAGTAGATTATATACAGAGTGGGAGTGCAAACAAGACTGAAGAAGGTCACTGCTGGAAAGGACTGAATCTAGAAATTCTCTTCCAAATGCTGTAGGTTCTTTGCATACAAGTTTAACAGTTAAGTTTGATCACACCAGCTCTTAAGACAGAATTAGGTACCTTATGACAGGTACAAGTGAAACACAAAGCAAATCAAAGATTTTAAGAGTTCCTTCTCACAACCAAGTATCTTCAGAACAATAAAAAACACTTCATAAAGAATACATCGAGTAAAACACCCTTCTAGTGCTTTCAGAATACAAAGAGATTATGATACAGAGCAATGTCATCAAGCAGAGGTTCACATAGTTAATAGAGTTAAACACTTCTGACAAGAGTTCAGCAGCACTGTTATTTCTAAACCCAAACAGAATTAAAAGAATAATCATTCAAGAAACTGGCCAGCCCCATGTCTTAAATAACATATTAAGATACTGACTGATCTAAATTCTTAACAACTCAAACTACAGACTTACTCTGAATTTACCTCCTTAATTAATAATTTACATTTATTTAAGTACTCACTTAAATTTAAAAGAACAGCAAAATTCTGCTTCAAGTTTCTTAAAGAGACATCCATGCAAATGCATGAGGTTCCCCCAAAGAATCCAACTTAGAAGATACTTGGACTTGAGATTCACATCAAGCTTTTGCCTTGCTGGAAAGCAGCTCAATTTAACTAAGTTGTTTTGATAACAGAATGCTTCATATAAAATAATTTAATAGGCATTAAAAGAAGATGACACTAATAGTGTCCATGAAAGGAAAATAAGTACAAAATGAAAGCACTCAGTCCTACATCTTTTCCATCTAAAGATACTGAGGGATTATCCCTGTAAAGCCTTTGCATCCTTCTCTCAGACAGAGAGAGAAAAGAGGGTGAAGAGAAACCTTTGCAGATTTGGCAAGATAAACATCTTTTAACAGGGACTTTAGTATTTTCTATTATACTTGCATTTGACAAGCACTTTTTAGTGGGCACTGCTTTGCTACTATACACACAGGGAATTCTCGTTTTCTACAGAAATGTTATAGCTTGTTGCTATTTATTTTTTTACTGATTACTTGCCAAAGTTTTCCAGCAATTCCAATCAGTGACCTACATACTTCAGATAATGGGTGATAAGTCCTCGGTATTTTTAAGTCAATTAGGTATTTAACAATACTTTTGGAGGAAAACATTAGCAGTGCAGATGCTTAAAACCAAATACCGAAAGCCCACAATATTTTCACCTCTGAATGGTCTGAAACACTGCTCACAATTGTAAAGAAGTTGTAACCTTGTCGCTGGAATTGAACTAATTCACAAGTGTTACCTGAATATACTGAGAAACTGATGAAGTTGAAGCAACAGCTGAAAGCTTTGCTCTCAGCTTTGATGCCATTATTTTTCCAGTACTAAGCATGAAGACCTCTAATTTTCCTCAGCAGAAGAATACAGACTGTTCAGTAGTGACCAACATACTCAACTCAAGGTGCATCACCAGGGATGGAATGTAAAATTCTGAACTGCACTAGAATTTATTATAAAATTACAGCACAGCTTCCCATGTGGCCAAAAAAACCTGCAAGCAAATTTTAATAACGAACACTGATCTGAAAATTGAGGGTATCACTTACTTATCAAACTCTTTCCACACCTTGATTTCCGTACTCTCCTCTTTGTTTTCCTGAACAGGTAGCTGAAGTGGCAAAAGAAGTTTTTTTCTTACACCTGGCAGTGACTTTAAATACGAAGAAAAGGAAGACCGTAGGGGCTTCAAACTGCACATAAATGGACAAAGTGAGGATTACTTTTAATTTCAGACTAAGCGAATATCCAAAGCAAATTAGTACGCTTATAAGATATTCACTTTGCTTTATGTTTTACAGTCCTAGTGCAACACGTTACGTTTTGATACAAAGTGAAATGAAAGAATGTTCAATTTAGGAATAGTAATAACGATCATTTGGATTAGTGGTTTGAAATTCCAAGAACACATCATGCCCATCAAAATGTCCATTCACCTTACACAGGCAGTGTTCACATGGAACAAGTATTTTGACTCAGAAGCAAGTCTTTTGAAGAACTTGGATGCTTCATCAATTTTTTTTCCAATTTTACTCCAAAGTGTTTTCCTTTCAGAAGTATCACAGGTTAAAGCTATAAATAGGCAACAGTGGTAAGCAAAAGTAATATTAGGTCTCTTTTTTAAAAATAGAGGTAACAATATTAAATGGTTCATTAACACCACCCAGCTCATGCCTCTCAGCATATCAAACCCAAACCACAAACATTGGCCTAGAACTTTTATTTCCAGTTAGACACACTACTGCAAATCATCGACTTCACAAGTGAGTTTTGTCAGCAGTATAAACTTGTCATTGTAGTCAAACACCACAAGGGTTATAATTAGCCAGCACATCATTTCGGCTTGTTCTCCCTACTAAATGATGAAGTCTGACTTCCACTGGCATAACCCACGTCTGTGATTTACAAGCATTCACAAAGCAAACTGTATAACAAGACCACTAGCTTAGTTCATAATTATTAGAGAGCATTCAAGGCAGGCAATTTTCAAACACAAAGAAATGCAACACACAACTTCAGTCAGTACAATGTATTGATTACATGCCAGGACACACTGTCACTATATCCACGCAAAAGGTTATAGAATAACTTACTTTGGACGAAAGCAAGCTATGGAAACTGTTTTTATAGCTTAAGTGAACCTCCCCATCTACCTCAAATAACCACTTACATGTTAATTAATCCATGGGACCCATTTGGATGTATCAGATAGCATGAAGGGACTGAGGTAATACCAAGTTTCTCAAGCAAAGGCTTATCAAAATTCAGTGCTCTCTTTACAATGATGTTTTCATACTGGATCAAGTCTAAGATAACCTGGGTAATGAAAAGATGACATGAATTATACATTGTTCAAAGAATATCCAATCTTGTAGGACAAGACAGATAAATAGGTGAAGTGCATCATCCTTTAAGGGTATCATTAAGCTGTTCACCAAGGAAGTATATCTGCGAGTATTCTGTGGACACTAACAATTTCAGTTAAAGCAGATTTACTCTTCTCTGGAAATTATTACTCCCATCTTCCATTTTCTCCTCTTGGTCTATCCTGATCTTTTCTCTTTGAAGTCTAACGTCTGAAGAAAACATGAGAATGAATGATAATATGTCCTCATAAACCTCAAAATAGCCCAGAGGATATTCCACTGGCACCAACAGGTTTATGGTTCATGTTATATATGTAAGAGTCTAAAGGCAAGTTTTCAGAGAGTGAGGAAACATTGGTCCCACCACTGTTTCTGATGTCAAAGTCCATGACTTCAAAATCAATTCAGGGCTCCACAGGAGCTGAGGCTTTGCCTGGCAAGCCCTGCCAAACCAAGCTGTGTAGCCTGTGGTGTCACAGCACCCAGCTGTCTGCTCAGCTCTTTTTGTTTACCAACCCCACAGCAGACTCCATGTAGGGATAGGTGCCTGTATCGCAAGTGCTCCAGTTCCCAGCCCAGCATCCCAGCTCAAACCAATCTCCGTCAGCTGCACAAGCCTGATGCTGGACTTTTGCACTAGAGCAGCTGGGAGTGGGCACAAATTTCTTTGCAAGATTTAAAATTCAGCAAAGGGTAGAGGAGGCAGAAGAAGGTGGTAACATCAGCGTGCCTCAAGGGTTTGCCAGGACTCAACTATCAGAATTCTTTGCAAACTATAGGCAAAGCTGCACCTACAAATATGACTCAGTTATAAGTAATGAAAATTTGCCCTTTAGAAAAAAAACCTTAAACACTAATTTATTCCCTTCTTAAATCCTTTAAGATCCCACTGCTAAAGGCATCTGCTTTTGCCATTCTAACGGCCACTCTCGTCACATCCTTCCATTACCCTCTGCTCTTACACTACCATTTCAAATGTTCCATTCTTACCTACAAAACCTTCCACTCTTCCGACTCTTCTTACATTTCTACTTGTCATTCTTTTACCCCTCTCTGCCTCTTCTGTATCTTCTTCCTGTTGTTATTTTCAGTTTCCACTATACTTCTCCCTTTCAGGTGAATATTATCATTACTTTCAAACTTGTAATTCAAGAGACCCCTCCTTCCCTTCATCAGTGATAAACACATGTCCTTCCTTTCTTTAACTGCTGACTTAGGTTATCCATATTGTCTTATACTGTAAACCTGAAAGCAACGTTGTTTTCTATTTCACTAAACTACTGCATAAAGCTAAAATACTACACAATGTTAGCATTTTTTTTTTATTCTGAAAGCAGACTCCACTTGCTGTTAATCAGATGACACTCAGTCTTGCCCTACAACAGTAGGTAATAAAACTAAAGCGAGTGTGATAAAAACGTGAAGAACTTTATAATCATCACATTTCTTCTCTTTAGTAATGCCCACTTGTATCTACACAGCAGCTTCCAGAAAACAAATGTCTGGAAGCAGCCTGTTTCTCAAAGTGATTCTCGCTTTTGGCAGCACGCTCTCCTCCACTTATGCAACTGGGCCATCTCAGCATCAAATCTAATTAGAAACATTTCACAGACATTGGATGTTTCTACACAGATTATGCCTAGATAATTATGCAATTTATTTTCTTTACTTATCCTAGATCTTGGCAGGAAGAGAAAAGTAACAGTTGTCTAAGCTAACAGCAGGCTCATTAGGTGGTGAAATGATGCCAAATCAAATATTTTATTTGGGGGGGGTGGGAGAAGCAAAAAACCAAAGACTTCCTCAGTGCCTCAGAGCTGTGAAAATAATTTGATGCTATCATCTTAATTTAGAATGTAATTTTCTAAAACCCATACGTGTATAAAAAGAACCAGAAAATTCAGATAATTATCAACAGTTGAAATCACAAAAGCTGCCCAGAAGAATGAGCATTATGAATGGTTCTCTTGCAGTAACAAAACAGGAACATAATCTGACAGTATTTTCGTTGTAATCTTCTAGAACATGAAAGAAAAAAAAATAATTCTGCTAACAGTGAAAATGATAAATTAATCTTCCACTAAAACATGAGTGGAAGAAGTTAACATGACATCACATTCATTAGTAAGCAAGATCCTCTGTGTGACTAAATACAAGAGCCCTGTATAATCCCTTGACTTGGTGATATCTCAAATATGCGTGACCTGCTCTTTATGACCCTTTAATTCAGTCCTATAATCAGAAAGTTTGTTGCTTGGCTAATTAACATAAAATTCAGCTGTGTTAGGATAACATTTATTCACATTCATTATGTCATTCATAAGTCACACGTTACCTCTCGTCCAACGTAGGAGTTATTACTTTCAAACACAACAGCAGTATAATGATGGCTGTTCTTGTCAAAAAGAGAAGTAATATCACCAGACCTTTTAAGAAAAGAAAAACTATTTAGCACAGGTAGAATGCAATGCACCTACTGTTACTGACAGAATTCCCTTTTACAATCTAGTAGTAGAACCGATAATAAGAAAAAAGCTTACTTCATCTTTAATAGGACCTTCTACATTTTATTTAATTAACCTAGTAAGCATACACCAGCTGTAATTTAAAGAAGGAACTTACGAAACTGGATCCAATGGCGGGCAAGCAGGCGGTCTCAACTCTTGGGAATGGTTCTGTAAGAAGTCAATCATCATCTGACGAACTGTTTGCAGCTCTCGATCTGCTCCTGCTGAGCACAGGTTACAAAAAACCACACCATTTCAGAAAACTGGGAAAAAATTTACTCCCATGCAGGTTTTCATACAGTCTTATGTTTTTCTTGTGTCAGGTTTTTGTTTTAAATTCGGACTTAAAAACCAGAATACTCTTTGGCTGAAGAATAGGGACTAGGGATTTTGTTGTAGGGTTTCATTTTAATGTTGAGATGAGATCATATTTAAAAGCTGTCATCCTACTCCAAGATTAATAAAGCCTCAATACTTTTCCAAATCTAACCATCTGCCTGCCTTGCTGATTTTCTCTTCAAACAATGCTTCATTCTGAATCCGTGCTCATTTTCACAACAGCTGGCGTGAGCACCTTCGGTAGATTTTTTGCAATATGGATATTCATCATGCACTAAAAAACATAAAGGTGTGCCATTCTTATCAAATGGGCCAGGTGAGGTTACAAAGTCACGTAACAATACGAGGAAATAACTGAATTGTGAGGATATTTTATTTGCTTTCAAAGAAATAAAATAAAAAGCACAAACTCTCACAAATGCCAAAAAGTAACAGGTACAACTATGGTCTATTTCTACATGAAGGGTTAATGGTGCAGGTGGTCTCTATTCTGACCTCTGGCCTTTTAAATGTTAATCCATTGAAAAAGACAACATTACTTTTGTCCCCAGACAAACCACCTCAAGCTGTGATCCTGTCAGACACACAGGATAAGCCTGTTTTCAGTTAGTCAACATCTGAATAGGGGTTTTCCCAGCGAGACTCAGGATGCCTGGAAAGTGGCCGACAAATCAAAAAGCAACAGTCAGGATTGAGGAAATTGGATCTCATGGTGATGAGGTGTGTGGTGGAAAAAAAAAGGAATTAAAAAAAATTATCTAGCCATTTGTGAAAATTAACAACATTTAAAAAAAAATGAGGTGTGAGAGCCCTAAGCTCTTGAACAAATGTTTTGCCTGTCTAAAATTCTGCCTGACATTCCATTTTCATACAGTACTTGTAATATCCTATCTTATAGAGCTATTTAGTGTCCATCCCATCTCTAGCTGTCTAAACTAATTGACAGGCAAACAGATTCTGCTTATTGTGTGGCACATTCCTGGCTGATAGGACAACTGCTTTGGGGATTTCTTACAGTAGGGCATTCTTACCTTTGTAATTTTCTCCAGTAGTAAACTGCTTTGTAAATGCTTTGAAGTACTATGTGGGAAAAAAAAATAAATGTATTAATGCTATGAAAATAACTCCCTGTATAAGACGAAAGTTCAGTTTAGAAACAAAAATGACTTCCCAGACACTTACTTTTTACAGCTCTAATTACAAAAGATTTTTATCTATTCAGAAGACAGTTTTCCGTCTTACTTTCAAAGACCTGCTTCCCAACTATACAAGGGTAGCAGGCGAAACTCTGATACACAATAAAGCCAACTTTAGAGGAAAAATACCACAATGCATAATTCAATGCTGTATATTGATCCATTACTGCAAACATTAAACCAAACACGACTTAACTGATTACCAAATCAGTACTACCAACTGTGTATATACTTAAAGACACTGTTCACATTTTCTCAACTCCCTCCAGTGGCTAAACAGGATATATAATGGAGCTTGACTGCCTTCTGCGACAAAAAAATAAACCAGAAAAGATTTAGTGTCTAATAAAGAGTACATTCCAATTTACACCAAAACCTTTAAAGATTAAAAAAAAAGAGTATTGTTCTTTCTATCAGGGTAGAACATCACAAATTCTACAGTGAAATGTCTCCTGTCCCCTCTCCTGTCATAACAAACACAGATTATTCGATCCTCTCCATCCATCACATTCTGCTTATACTTATGGTTAAATATGTGATTATACAGATTAACAAAGAGCAGTTAAAAACTGCACTTAGATCTGAAGATAAACAATAGTAGATACTTTTGGCAAACACAAGATCCCTTGTAAAATTCAGTTTTGGCAAATTATGAAATTTAGCAGATTATTTAGTGAAGGATCAATCAAGGGTGAATTTTTAATTGGAGCTCTGGTCATAAAATAAAATGATTTCATGATGCAATTTCAATGTATTACCTTTACTTCCATACATCAAAATTAAACCCACTATTAATAATCATGAACATCTGAATTAGAAAAATACTTAAACAAATTGTTATTATCTAATTAAATATATCACAACTAGGTGTTATAGTATTTTCTAGAATGGTATCTTCTTCCCATAAGAATTTTTTCAGATTCAGAACTAAGGAGTGAGTTACTACTATAACTAACTGCATCTGCTATTGCGTTCAGCAAGAACTCAAATTAATCTTTTATCAGCCCTGCAGCTTTTTCACCAAAAGCAAAGAAAAAGTCCAGCTAAAGAACAACACATAACACTCTGCACAGGTAAGTTTGTTATAGTTACTATAAAGCATGCATTTACCTAAGGCAATATATGATGCCACTTACCCTAAAAGTTGGGTAATAGTGAATACCATATTCTTTGCACGTCTCATAGTTCTCTTCTTCCCCACAATCCAGCACACCAACTCTAATTGCAGATTCCCAGTCTGAAAACAAAGATATCCTTCAATTTGCAGCAGAAGTGATCGTGGATCCCAGCTGATGGATTACCCTGCTTCCCACAGAAATCAACAACAGAACTCCAATAGATTCCAGTGGCATAAAAATCAAGCCTCCGGTCAATTCTCATTTGCTATTCGTTTCTATTGTCAAGCGTAATACAAGCTACTGATTTTTTAAATAACCAAAACCTCCCTGTTTTTCTTAGCTGCAACTGTATTTTCAATACACCTACATAAGAAGAATCCCAACAAACAATGAAGCACTTGCAGGGCCGAAGACATTTTACTGAACCCAGGAAGATGAAATAGGGACCAACCCAACGCTTGCAAGGTACCGGATTGTATTCCCCGGCTTTCACCATTAGCTAAGCTCAGAAAATAAAGCATGCAGAATATCCGTAGCTGAATAAAATTAATCCAACAGTTACTCATCCACGTGGCTGTCAAGTACAAAACCATGAATTTGATGCACCTTGTATTAGGGCTGTTTTAACAAGGCCTCGCTATTCACCAAACTTACAATTTTCTCAGAGGCCTCCAGAATCGCACACGCAACCCAAGGCTCACCTATTGTGTACTGAAAGCTGTCTTTATCTTTTCATACTGTTCAGGAATACATTAGATAGCCCTCACAGAATCTCTTGAGTTTTAACCAGAGTGCTAAATAGTTGAGTTTGAACATAACTGTAAGTTTCCTTTATAAATGTTTCATAGCAATAACCTCAAGTATTTCTATAAATATGCTTATATAATTCAGTAAAAGCTTTCAACTCATTTATGGCTTTTTCCTTCTCATTTTGTTAGGAACTTATCTTTTTGAGCCATGCTCCAGTGCAGCAATCACTTTAAGGAAGAACTGCTCCAAAAGACTCCTCAGACAGTTCCTTTTTAAAGCTAAGCTAAATCAAAACAGCTGTGGGCAGAATCTGAAGGTACACCACAATTCTCAAGTATCAATAAAATTTAAAAAGCACTAAAATTAAACTTGCTTTTATAGCAAAGAGCATGAAAGCTTCATCAAGTTCATGATCTGATTGACAGTTAGTTGCATGCCTAGCTGCTTTTGAAATTTAGCTTGACCTTTATTTGTCTTTGGTAGAGGATGGGGCAGCTGATGGAGAATTTCAGTTGTGCTGAACATGCCAACAGCTGAACAGGCACCAGGAGTAACTACAAGCATGCTGGAGCAGATGGGCATGTATTCACAGGAGCACAAAAGATACAACAGTCTATTTAATCAAATAAAATGCAAAATAAATAAAAAAAAAGTTTGGCTTCTGGGTATCTATCTCATTCCACTTTCACCACTCCTCCTCCTTTTTCCACCTGTCTTGATCCCCCTCCCTACAATGAAGAGAAGCACAATGAACCCCATGCAAATAGCCTCCCACAATAATGCAAAGCCATCTCTAGCTAAATACTTGGGTTAAAGAGCACCAGCTGGGATGTGTGCTGCTTAGCATTTGCTTCTGCTTCAAAAGGAGCTTTTCCTTTCTAAAGGATGCGAAAGTTGTTGGAGTGCACAGCCCAGTCTGTGTATGTTTACAGTGGCATTGTAGCCTAGTTTTTTTTTTGTTTGTTTTTTTAATGCTGATGAATTTTAAATGAGTATTTCTGAAATACTAACTCACATATGAAAGGGGTAGATGAGTGAAATCATATTAACCAACACTATGTCTGTTTATGCTAAGCAAGTTCCAATGAGCAACATGAATGTATTGGACAAACTGGAAATCCAGCAGGTTGGTCAAACCTCCCACTTAAGAAATGCTGCAGAATACCAACACAGCAGTCACAGCACATTACGAGGAAGATACTCTCTTTGCAGAAACCTTGCATATTCCCTCCAGCAGGCAGATGCAAATGCTGTGTATCATCTCCCACTACAAAGCTTCAGTCAGGGGGTTAAGAGGAAATCTCTCCCTGCTACTCAAGAGTTACATATTTTAACCCGCTGGCTGTTTCCTGAATAATGACAAGGTTTCTGCAGTTCCCCACCAAACGTGTTTGAAGAACAATTTCTAGAAGGAAATCATTATTGCTAGATTTGGAACAGTTGTTCCAAATCCAGAGGAGTGGATTGCTTCTGTACATAATTCGAGGGTTGTCATACATGGGATTTCCAGGGGTTTGTTATTTCTGCACAGAAAATTACTACACATAATTCCAGCCCACAGGCATTTTGGTGGATAGATTCAATCATCTTTTAAGACAGAAAAAAGTACAATTAACTATAATGACCACTTTGGACCCTACTGTAATAAAACTAAATGTGTGATTACAAATGCAGCAGCAATGACTCTCTGCTTAAAGCCTGTTCTGAGGGAAGAGGGAGCATCAGACTCAAAATGTAAATTACACAAAAACAAGCACTGCTCCTATTTTTCAGGATTATGTTCTGCTATAACATTTGCAATGACAGTATTGCCAAGATTTAACAAATGAGAAATTAGATAAAATTTAAGTATATTAGCACAGGCCTTGTATTGACGAAGTATTTGTACCAATTTAACTGGGCCACACCAAATTAGCATAAAACAACCACAATGACCTAGGAGTTCTCTAATGTAGATGAGTCTGTGTCCTCAGAGAGACCTGCAATATCCTAGCAGATGAGTAAACATTTTTGAAAAATATTGCATCTAAGCGGGCAAAATGGTTTTGGGATTTTTTTTGGATGAAGCTACCCATAAAAAGTGTGACTGTTCTCAGTCTCCTACTAAAATCCATTCATTCCAACTTTAAAATGGAAACATTTTGCTGAGAAATAACACCAGAAGCCAATTGCATTTGCTGGTAGTGCCAATGTCCACACACATAAAAATCTACTTTTAAAACGAAAGTCTTCATAAAACCTCAATGGATTAAAGAGTAGATAGGCCTTTAACTGGTTATAGTAATACCAGCGCATAACATCATCTGCAGTTATCATGACTGCAGATGAGAAAGAAAAAAATATATCTGAAGTAGTCATTACAAGTTACAAAAAGTATTACCTACAAAGGTACCACGCTGCTGTAGGAGCATATAAACATATCCGTCTAACTTTGACAAAAGCTCCTGTCAGTTCATGCTCTTTGTGATCTTCAGTGAAGTGTGCAAACACCTTCGTTCTTACTTTTCTTCAAAAAAGAAAAGCTACTACTATTTTGGCCACAAGCAGTTCAAATCGAAACTTATGAAAACAGAAAAAACCTACAGCTTGTATGAACAAAAACTCCATGCAAGTAAGGAGCATTTGAAATCCTCTGAAACCATTAATGCTCTGTGTTTCTCAGTTTGTGAGTTTCTGCTCATCAGTCAGCAATCCTCAGCATGGGATGAGTTCATCAGGCCCTATTTTTGGATAGGCCTCCATTTCTGTGTATGTAAACCCACATACACCTAACACTGCACCCATGTTTCATGAGAACGGTGAACACTTTTCACATACCAGGCTGCCACAGAAGAGCCGGAGCTCCTCACTCCCTCTCAAAATGAAGCCATGTGAATGCATGAGAACCACTGTCTCCATCCTGGAAATGCCTCGAGTCAAATGCTTAACTAAGAGTAGTTTAAAAGTCTTTAACACCACTATATTAAGCCTAATATTTCCTACAAATGTGACCTCAGGTCTTCTCCCCACCAGAGGTACTGAATCCAACCAACACATGAGGGGCCTGTTCGTTTCCTTACTTCAGATCTACAAAAGGAGTAAAACACTTCACCTGCCAAAAAAACTGAGCAGACTAAGACACAGCAAGGCAGGTCTCCCTCAATATAAACTGCAGAGGCCAGTATTTGATAAATCTGAAAATCTGACTCTCACTTAGCTTGATTTTTGCATTATTTCCTGTTGGTTCCTTTCCCTCTTCTAGTCCCTTCACGCTACACTGAATTTATAAGATATAAATCAAGTACATGCACAGCCTCTCCAGTACCACGATATTTATTTTTGGTTTCACCTCTAAAATAGGCTAGTCTCTTTACAAAACATTCAGAAGATAAAGATCTTGCCTCAAAGGAGTTTAGTCTAAACGTACCTCCTGTGCCTCAGCGCGTCCACTCGCACGCTGCAACACACGCGGAGACGCTTGCGTGTAAATCCGCAGCTGGATCGCTCTGTGTGTGTGAGAGGCGGTGATGTTTTATCCCTGGATTCCTACGAAACCTTTAATTTGGAGACTCGCTACTATCCTCCACAACTCGCCTTGTCCCGTGGGCCATTCTGGCAGCGCGGCAAAGGCCAGAGACGCGTGAAGAGGGACAACGCTCCCGCGCCTCGACGCAAAGCGCGGCCACGTGGGTCAAAGCACCGCCGAGGCCCGCGGGGGTGACACGGGGAGAGGGGGCCCCGCTGCACCGAGCACCCCACGGGTGACCACGAGGCCAGGCTGCGGCCCACGCGGGTGCCACG